CGTGGTATGTTGAATGCAGCACTGGTTCAAATTAGATGTTTGTGAAGTCAAAATACTAAGTCTATAGTTTTGTATGATTTAGAAACTCAAATTACCCATATTGACAAGCTAGAATATAAAATAAGAGCCTCTTATCTTTTCTATTTGCTAAGATATTGCTCATGTAATGAATCAAACACAGTGGCACCTGGCCCACCTCTTCCCATTTTTGGAAATGCTCCCCTTATATACACTTACTTCTATGTATGACATGAATAACCACTTGAAAGGTCAGAATGTCCCCATAGTGACTTTTTCAGCCATTTTTAAATATCAAGTCATTATATCTTTGTTCGATACAAGACAGCATAGAGGTAAGTCGAGACTCTAGTCTGCTCGACATTTCATATTTTGTTAGACCCAAATACAGCCTTGTTACTAAAATTGATAAATTATAATTCAGTTCTATGGTATCGATGCAGTAACTTATGATTTTTGGTTATTCAAATGTATGTATAAAACCTAAAAAAATTATTTTCTTTCATATCCTCCACATGCAAAATTTTTAAAAGCTTAGCAGCCTACGTCAAGCAGCAACCAAGTACAAAGGTTATAACTACAAGAGGTAACTGTTTGCTTACTTCTTTATTTACTGTTCTATGTTTTAAGAAAAATAAGTTTAAGAACTTATTTCTAAACAGCAATAATTTATATACATATATAATAAATAATAATTGAAATGTGACTGTATTTTACAAAGTATTAGTCTACATAAACACAGCCAAGACAGGTTACTTTGTAAAGACCAAAGGTCAGTTTTATGTTAATGGATATGGTAACATGAGTGCACCAAAGTCTACTGAACCCGTATAGAGATTCATTACTGAAAATAAGAGATAAAATCTAAAGTTTTTCTTAAGAAACATTTGATAACTATCTGGACATTACAAAGATTTCGCATGTGAAATTTGAAAATTTTCTTATGCATAAAAGTAGTTTTAATCTTAAACTGAAAATTACTTTGCATGTTGGATAGGCAACATGTGAAAAGAAAAAAAGGCATGAGAAAAACATTGCTTTACAAACCTTAAGACTTAATAAAAAAATTGATATTCTGCATATGAAAGCATTGTAATGTTTACTGATAATTTGCCAAATTTCGTTAACACTCGCTTACTAATTTAAAAGTTATAGCATGAAAACTATAACAAGCAGAAAATGGTTATGAGGACAGTCCCATGGACTGAGTCCATGCTGAAAGAGTTAACACGTTTCTTATTTTAATGTATAGCCAACTAGTAATGTAGCCAGCATAATTATATGCACAGCAAGGCAATCTAAACTTGTAAATCTAAACAAATTCTTACTTTTAGGAATTACATCTTTAAATAGAAAAAATTATCGAAACACAAGTCTGAAAACACACTGAACCAGTAACTGTAGATAAACTCTGTCTAAACATACATCTGTTTTTAGATGTTTGCCCAAAGTTACTCAAGGGCTATCTGCACTAGCTGTCTCTAATTTTGAACTGATACACTAAAGAAAATGCACCTATTTGACAGTACCTACTAAAAAATCTTAGGTTACTCTTGCTTAAATGAAAGTAGAGTTTGGCCATCATTCTTATAATAATACTACAAGTCCCACTGTCAAAAACTTTCACAAGAAAAAAAGGCAATTTTTGAATCATGTTAATAATTAATTGTAAACTCAATGTTTGGACGTTTACTATTCGAAAGTTATAATTTTCCTATACTGAAAATGTATTTCCAATAAGTAATTCCCTCCGCTCACAAGATTAGCTATTCTCATCCAATGCTGCTCTCTACATGCAAACTTTTTCTTTAAGCATGCCACAAACCTTCAGCTCCCCTTATTGAAATCAAATGATTCCAACATATCTCTCATGCAAATCATTATGCATCACTTCTCCACCAATAGGAGTGTGACATACTCACATGACAGATGTGACTCCCTCTATACGCCACTACTGAACTATCATTTCGAAGTTTAGCAGAAGACGTAAGCACTGGAGGGAAGTACTTATCGGAAATACATTATCAGTATAGGAAAATTATAACTTTCAATACAGCACTTCCCTCCACTCACAAGATTAGCTTGAATCCCACATTGATTAGGAGGAGGGACCAGTGTGAGGGAATGACAGAAGTACCCCCCAAAAAGAGTCCAAAGGATACCCTTTGAAATGAGAGAGTGAGACCCAAAGATCTGATGAGTGGATCCACACCACTTCTGACCACGTATACTCTTCGCTCATCCATGAAGTGTGTAGAATATAAGGGCAGAAAAAGAGAGAAGTACATTCAAGTAGGAGAGAACTGAGACAGGATAGTGATCCTAACCCTGGAATATATATGGAACTTAATCCCACAAAGCATGAAAGTGGGTAAATCAAAGTATGTGCCCCTAGGTGTAGAGTGACTAATGCACTCAGTAAGTCAACTACATTCAAAACCCATGTCGCTGGGAACCGACATCCATGTGGGGGTAAGATGAGGATCATACCATCTTCACCTCAAATTCAAGAGACCAGAAGGAATATAGAATCATTCCAAATCCAGAACATGATATGTGTTCGCTTTGATATATCAATCCAGGGACCCAACATCCAGTATTGAAAGAATGTCTATTAAGTATAAACCAACTCCACAAACAGTGAAACCGACCAGAACAATCCAAAAAGCAATAACATCCTCGGAATAATATACACAATGGATAGCTAAAAGAACAGAAATGTATGTGAAATGCCAATGGCAAACCAATCAAATCTTCTATGTCCACAGGCTAGAGGAGAAGGAAATATGTTTTAAGGGAAAGGTGAAACATGGAGCACTAGGAAATAGGTTCAAACAGAGGTAAAGTGAGGGAATGGAGGACCACATTAATATCCCAGTCCAGAAGACTAGGCCATCTGGGTGGATGACGGATCTGAAAGGAACGCATTGATATGGTAAGGACAGGGGAAGCAAAAACTCGACGATATCAGGAAAACGAAAGGTAAGGGATAAGGCAGCCCGATAACTTGAGATCAAAGAGACCGAAGACCCCCTGTCGAAAAGCCATGTGAGAAACTCAGTAACAGTAGGTTGGTCAGTGAGGAATCTCCAAGTAGTGGACTAACTGTGGAACACTTTCCATTTGTGCTGATACACCTCCACTGAAGAAGGACGTATAGAACGAGCCAAAAGGAAAACTACTTGATGGGAGAAACCTGTTCTCCTTACCAAGGACTAGATAAAAGCCAGGCATGAAGATGAAGGACGTGAATGGTGGGATGTAGAACTGGTGACTGAGGTTGATGTAGAAGGGAGGGAGACAAGGGAAGGGGTACTGGAGGGAAAAGTTGCAGTTGATGTAATCATGGCCAATATGGAGTGATTAGAAGGACTTGACATGGAGTGGTATGGATGAGAGAGACCAGCCGATGAAGTAGTTGGATAGGAGGATAAACATAAAGGAATTTGTGGGACTTAAAAACCAATCCATCAGATTAATTTGGTCAGGGTGGGAAAGACGATCTGCTACAAGATTGAAAGCATCCAGAATGTGACACATACAATGTGATGAATATGGTGCATGTGAGCCCAATATACGAGATCCAATGTAGGAAAACGGTGAGATCTTGACTGGGTGCCCTTGGTGATTGATATGTGCTACCACTGTAGAACTGTCAATATGAATCATCACCAGACAATGTCTGGTGATAGGAAGGAAGTGGTTCAAAGCCCAACAGACCTCAAAAACCTCAAAGATGTTGATACACAAAGACTTGCTTGCACCAAGGACCTGAAGCCTCTTGGTAATTGACCCATGAATCCCAGCCATGAAGAGATGCATCCATAAACAGATGTAAATCCGGGTGAGGAGGAGGAAGCGGGACACCCAATGATGTATGGGCCTTGTCCAACCACCAAAGCAGATTGTCTTACAAGGTATGAGGAAGGGTAATGGGAGCTGGCAAGGGATCCGGAGCAAAGTTCCACTGATTCTGAAGAGCCCACTGAAGGGATCACATATGTGCATGACTGAGGGGGACCAGTGTCATCATCAAAGACCACATTCCCAAAAGTCATAGGACCTCACGAGCAGAAAGTGAGAGAGCTGAAAGGGTGTAGCGAAGTAACAATTCCATGGAACAAAGTCATAGAGGACAAGGTTGAGCCCGATCAAGATGAGTGTCAAAAAGGACACCTAAACAGACAAGATATTAGGTAGGATGGAGGAAGAACTTCTTCAATGTGATTAACCAGCCCACCCGAGCAGCCATGTGAAGAAGCTGACAAGCCAGTCGTCCATACAATGGTGGAATCGCAGCTCCAGAGTACAAAGATGGTGAGCAAAAGCTCTGACCACCCGACAGAAAACATAAGGAGTGGAAGCAAGCCTGAAGGGTAGGGCACAAAAATGGTAAATCACCCTGTGATGGATGAATTGAAGATATGTACGAGACCGTACTGAGACAGGGATGTGTAGATAAGCATTGGCAACATCCATCTTGGTCATCCATAAGTACAGAGAAAATGCCCACCATAGGGTGAGAAATGACACCATGGTAAAATGGGGCAGTTGAATGAATCAATTGAGGTGGGACAAATCAATGACAGGTCTCCAGTCCCCAGTTTTATTGGGAACAACAAAGAGTCTGGAATAAAATCCTGGTGAAGTATGTAGAACAGGTTCGATGGGCTGCTGAGATCGTAGGTCCTGAACCACCTCCGACAGATGCTGGCCAGTCACTGGATCCTGAGACAGAGGGAAAGAAATGGGTATAGGAGATATAGGAGGTGGGGAAAGAAACGGGATCACAAATCATTCCGATAAAACTTGAAGAAGTAATGATCCTTGATGAAAGGATGCCATTGATGATGAAAATCAGCAAGTTGAACTCCCACTGTACCAGAACCCACTGAGTAGTCACCGATACTGTTGACGACGTGACATGCATCATCAAAGAAAACGATGAGACAAGGCACCCCTGAGCAGGAGGGACAGGTAAAAGCATTGGGAAGAAGAAAGATGGGAACTATAACAGGTGCCATATTGGGCTCAGACCGAGAGAAATGGGCAACTAGAGTGGAAAGGGTAGACTGTTGTTGTACTGATGCAAATCATGACTCCAAGGACTCAGGGATCATGTCACATATGTAATGCCACAAAAAGTGGCCATAAGTAAATCCCAAAGATAAGATGCTGGTAAACAGATGCGAGTTAATGTCGCATCACGACATAGAAGGTCCAAACAACAGAGAAACCACATATATAAAGCCAAAACTAAAGACGACATACGAGCCAATGTGGAGAAAAGAAGGGCGAGGAGGTCCCCAGAAAACCCCTCAGTATTTTGGTGGAGAGCCTCAGAGAGGAGATGGATGGTATAGAGAGACTGTTAAAGAGTTGTGAGGGTAAGACAAAGAAAGAAAGATTGGCCATGGGTCAGATTTACAGGAGATTCAGGGACTGCCCCCCCAAAAGAGGTAAAATAGAACCTAACAATTGTTGATCTAGAAAAGGGCAGTCGGCATACTAAACCTGTCACTTAATTGTGAAGCAAGTTGGTTAGCATGTACCCGAATATCTGGGGAGAGGGGGAAAACCAAATAGGGATGTGAAGATTGGTCATGTAGTAAGGAAGGATGTGGTTCATAGGAAATATGGCAAGGGATAAAACATCACATACCTGAGAAACGAATTCCAAAAAGACCATAGAAAGCCTAACTGACTCCTCAAGAGGAGCATGGAATGGCAGGAGGTAGAAATAGGTGATCCAAGTCCTTGTCAGCCTGAACAGGGTCAGCATGTTCGGGAGGAAGTAGGGTGCTGTCCGGAGATAGAGGTTGACCCATGTAATGTTCAATCACCCCGCAAATAAACGCTGGTAAATCTCCTGTTGGGTCACCTGCACCTGAGGCCTGTGACATAGCGCTAGTCAGAGGTGTGACCCCCAAAGTGGTAACATGAACTTCAGAATTCATAATTAAGAAAAGTCAACCAAAATCGAAATTATTAATAATAATGTGACTGTAATAAACTGGGATTAAATTATAGTGAAGGAACAGTCTTAATAAACTTGGAAGTAATTTAAATGAAAACCACTTTGTGAGTATACTAAAGTTGAACATGAAACTTTAAACAAACAAAGGAGCACATCCAAGCACAAGTGCTGCCAAACGAGAAGTGACGCATGATGACTTGCATGAGAGACATGTTGGAATCATTTGATTCCAATAAGGGGGGGAGCAGAAGGCTTGAGACATGCATAAAGAAAAACATTCGCATATAGAAGGAAGCACATGGTTGATAATAGCTAATCTTGTGAGAAGAGGGAAGTACTGTATCAGATAATTAAGGAATTCTCTTATTTGTTCTGTGTATGAAAAATAATAGTACAGCTTACAAAATAGAGGTTTACTGCCATTCTTTAAGATACCGTTTCTCTTGAAGACTCACAAACAAATGAGCCTGACAGATTTAAGGTTACTAGCCCCATCAGTTTTATCATAAATATTTCCGTGTTAGGTAGATCTTTTAGAATTTCAGAAGAGAGAAAACTAAAATGATATACAAATCAATGATTTTTTGAAATGGAATATATGTAAAGTGAACAACATTAAGGTTTGTTGTATAAACATTATAAGGAAATTTTAATATTGTTGTGTTAAAAAATAATAATTTTCTTTAACAGTGAATTTCTTTCTGATAAATTTTGAAATGTATTTGGAATACATAGTTTTAAAATATTTATACTACTTCAAGAAATCAATATTAAGAAGATTTTTCATGATCATAATAATGGTTGTTCAGTGTTCTTTAAAACACTTATTAAGGCTTGTCTCCTGTACTTGTCAATTAAAAATTGAGCAAAACATCTATTTTTTTAAGAAATCTAAGTAAATGTGTTTTTTGCACAAAACTACACAATGGGCTGGCTGTACCCTGTCTACTGCTAAGAATTGAACCCCAGACTTTAGCTTTGTAACTCCATGAACTTACAGCTGATGCACCAGGTGACAGGGAAAGTATTTCAAAACCTAAAAAAAAATTTTAACAAACCAATAATAAACAAATTTTAGCATTAACAATAAAGGAAAGTACCACCAATACAGGCAATACTCCACTGAAAAAACCTAGTTAAAATTTTAAAGCATAAGAACTGATTAAGAAAATGATATAACCCTAGTTTGTCAATAAATATAAAAATCTAATTAGAAAGAAGACAGAGAAAAACAACAACAAAGATTTAACAGTGCATGTGGTAATTATGATGAATGAGATTATGATGTAAAACCATCTGACAATGGGCAGAAACTAGGACTTATAGAGCTTTGCAGTTGCCAACATAAAGCCAGCTTTTCATCAGTCTGGTTGTTGTGCTTCTCCTCAAACTTTAAACTTGTTGCAATTTATTAACTAATGTAGGGTTAGTTTAGACTTAATTACACCTCATATAATTATATCTACACAGTCAGAACAAAAATCAAGTATAATAAGTACAAGCTACTATGATAAATATACGAAATATATTACTTACAATAAGATTTGTTAAGTAGTCTTTCCGAGGATTGCTTCCATGTTTTACTTTTTTCCCATTGATTGACAGACTGTAATTGTAATAACGAGAGTTCTGCACCTGTTATCCAACAAACATGTTATACTTTTTTTACAGAAATTAAATGTATAATAAATGTTACTAAATATTATACATATAACAAAAATGTTCTATTTTAAGAATCTAAAATGCAAATATATTAAAATAACAGTTATTATACAAAAATATAAATACATGTACTTTGAATACATTACTAGTTTTGCTCATTTGAGGAAATGTGTTATTTCACCCTTCTAACTAGTGAGAATGTCTCTTTATTCAGATATATTAAGATAAATTTTGTGCAAGTGTTCTGCATGTAAGCAGGAATGTGAAAAGTAGTGAATTTATGCTAATCTTCTAACTTAGACAAATAAAGATTACATTTGCTTTACCCTGTTTCTGGTCATACTCTCCTAGAGTGATTTCATACTCATTTCAAGGGGTGATACAGACTCGTGACAGTTACTTTGAGATGGCAGTTTATTTTCTTTGAATATATAATGGCAATATTAATTCACATGGGAAAATTAATATAGAATTGTGGGATGATGAAATAGGATTTTTGTACAACTTACTAATGTGGTATCATTATGATTCTTCCCAATGTTATAATTTTCCTATACTGAAAATGTATTTCCGTTAGGTACTTACCTCCTCTCACAAAAATAGCTATTCTCATTCAATGCTGCCCACTATATAAAAAAAATTTTTGCACATGCCAAAAATCTTGAAGCTCCCACCTATCTAGAAATCATCATGGGACAACCCTCCACCAATAAATGTGTGACACTCTCTTGATGCATGTGACTCCCTCTATCTAATTCTACCAAACTATCACTTCGAGTTTTGACAGAAGATGGAAGCACCAGTTTTCAGTGGGGAAGAAGTGTGGGAAGTGTGAAAGTACCTATCCGAAATACATTTTCAGTACAGGAAAATTATAACTTCCGATACAATACATTACCTCTTCTCACGTAAGTAGCTAGAATCCCACATTGAATAGGTGGAGGGACTGGTGCGAGGGAAAGAAAGACACATCCTTCAAAAGTGTCCTAAGAACACTCCCTAAGAGGAGATCTTCGGAGTTGAAGATCAAACGTGGGAGACCGCACCACTTCTGAATCAGGTATACTCTTCGCTCATTGTGGAAAGATGTTGAATATATGGGTGAAAAGACGGAGGAGCACATCCAAGTGGAAGAGAACTATGGCAAAATTTGGATCTGAACCATACAACATTTATTAAACTCAATCCCAGAAAACATAGAAGTAGGTAAGATTAAAAGGATGTGCCCCTAGGTGTAGAGCAGCTAGAGCATGACAGGCCATACACGGCAAGTCAACTATATCCAAAACCCATGCTGCTGGAAACCGACATCCATGTGGGGTAGGAAAGAGGATCATACCCTCTTCACCTCAAGTTTATGAGAATGGAGGGAATCTCATACCCCCAACCCATGAATGGGGCACATGATAACAATGTGAAAAATTGATTGATCAATCCAGGAATCCAACATCTGGCATCAAAAAGATATCTGTGTAATGTAAACCATATCACTCAAATTTAAAATGACAGGAACCATCCCAAGTGTACTAAAATCCTCAAAATAATAAGAACATTGAGAGATAGTGGAAGGGAAAGAATTGTAGTAATCTGCAAGTACCTCCGTCATGACCCACAACACGGATGTAGTAACAAGAACATAAATGAGTGAGGGAATAGAGACATCTATAATACATGTGTGAGAACATATTATTTTGACTGGTTTAGCTCTAAATCCAAATCCTTGCCACTGGGAAACAACATCCACGTGAGGGTAGAATGAGGAATTCCAATCGAAGGGGTCTACTGCAATTTTGACAACTCACTTCAGTGTTACATAGTGGAAGATATCTCGTCATCTACACCAGCAGAACACCACTGCCCTACTCTCAACTGAATAGTTTTATAATCATTTAGGTATATGATATATATATATATATTATATGTATTTCATTAACACATTCAGGAGGGTGCCTCCATGGTCCACCACACCAGTAGCTTGGAAATGTAAAGTTGTAAGGACTCTCCAACTCCACAAGTTAAAAAGGGGGGAGAAAGTGTGGTGGAGAGCCTGGAGGATCAACAACACCAGAGACAGTGCAATGGGTGACCATTAAACCCTATTTTGAAAAGCAGACCATACCAATTTATTCAATACAAGGCATGGCAGGGATGGGCACTATCCCCTTCTGCTTTACCCATGTAGTCCATGGTGAGTACAGTCAGGGCCGAGCAAACTAAAAAAGCAAACATATCGTGAGGATAAACCTACAAGCCTATCCATATCAGACAGAGAATAAAGGTGTGGGAAATAGAAGAAAGAGAAATAAACAAAAAGGAGAAGTTGCCTTCTCAAGCCACCAAAGTTTTGGGGAGGAAAGAATGATTTGGATAAAAGAGAATACCTGTGGAATGATAAAGAATACGTGAAATGTCAATGGCAAATAAATCTAACCTCTGACATCCACAGGCTAAGAGGAGGAATCAAGTCTTAAGGGAGAGGTGGACAACGAATTTGGAAGGAATGTCTCAACAGGGAAAGAGTAGGAGAGGTAAACACTCTACAGTACCAGAAAATACAAAAGTGTGGGACAAGGCACCCTAATAACCCATGATCGAGAAGATAGAAGACCCCCCGATCAAAAAGCCAAGTAAGGAAATCTGCAATATGAGGAACAGTGGGTGGAGTGGATGAAACCAATGACCCAAAGACCAATGGTGGAAAACATTCCACTTACGTTGATAAACCTCTCTGTGGGAAGAGAGAATTGAATTAGCAAGAAAAAATGCTACCCATTGGGACAGACCAGATCTCTTGGCCAAGAACTGGATAAAAACCAGGTGTGAAGATGTAGGACAGTAAGGGCTGGATGAAACAACAATGACCGTGATTGATGAAAAAGGGATGGAGTCAGAGGAAGAGGTAGCAGTGGTGTAGTTTGGAGTTGGAGTAGCAGCAAGAACCACAGTTGAGCTGGCCAGTAAGGAGCAATCAGAAGGACCTGATATAGAGTGGCATGGATAATCAAAATCACCCTGCAAATGGGAGAATAGACATTCAGGTGTTTGTTGGTCCAATCCTAACTGAAAGTATCTACAGCCAGATCAAGAGCATGAGGAACCAGGGACCAAAACAAAGGCAATTTGGTGTTGAGGGATGTGGCAAACACATCAAAGTGAGGAGTACTCCACTGAAGGCAAAGCCACTGGAAAACAAGAGACCACTCCATCAGATAGACTATATTTGAATAAAAAAGCCAATCTGCAACAAGACTGAAAGCACCTGGAACATGACACACAATGATATGAATATCGAGCATGTGAGCTCAAAAAAGAAGACCCAAAGTATGAAAACATAGAGATTGAGAATGGGTGCCGCCTGGGTGATTGAGATAAGCAACCACTGTAGAACTGTTGGAATGGATCATTACCTCATGATTTCTGACCAGATGGAGAAAATGAACCAAACCACAATGTACAGCAAAAAGCTCCAGGAAATGGGTACCCATGACAAAGGAGGGGGGGGGGGAACTGTAGGACAAGTCCCTCAGATAAAAACTCAAATAACACATGGATCTGTGGCAAAAGGTTGCCAAAGAGGTTACAAATTCAGACAAGCAAGCTCCCACAGGACCAGAACCCACCAGGTATTCACTGGTACTGTTGGTGACTATCTACATTGAATAAAATGACGAGTTGAGGAACCCCTGGAGGGAGGAATGGGTAAAGGCTGAAAAGGACTAGGACAGGAAAGAGAAATAGAAGCCTGTTTCGGCTACGACTACAACAAACAGGCAACCAAAGAGGTAAAGGTAGAGTGTTGAAACACTGACTCCATACATGATTCCAAAGTCTCAGGCACATCATCAAAAACATACTGCTGAATAAAAAAGGGCCATACGTAAATCTATGAGATAAGGGAGTAGTAAATGAACCTGGAACAAGGTGCATCTCTACTCAAGAGATCCCAACAACAGAGAAACCACGTGTGTAAAGTGAGAACCAAAGATGGCAAATGTACCAAATGGATGGAAAAAGAAAAATTTGAGAGTGAGAAAAAAAAAAGAATGAGAAATTACATTGACAGAAAAATTCATCAACTATGTAAATATAATAAAACAAATAATGAAGAAATTCCACTTCAGAAATGAAACTAATTGAATTCACGAAGTCATACAATACAAAGAGCACAAAAAAATGTCTTGACACAAGTACTGCCAAACAAGAAGTGATAGTTTGGTAGAATTGAATAGGAGTCACATGCATCAATAGAATATATCACACTCTTATTGGTGTGGGTTTTGTCACATAATGATTTGCATGCAAAACACATTGGAATAAGTCAATTACAGATGGGTGGGAGCTTCAAGGCTTGTGGCATACACAAAATATTTTTGTATATAGAGGGCAGCACTGAACAATAATAACTATTTATGTGAGAAGAGGTAATGTACCATATCAGAATTCTTAGTTTGTATCGATATGATTTTCTACTACTCCTGTAGACAGAAATTTATGAAACAAAGCTAGAAATCTGACCAGCTTTGTTAAAGTCCCCATTAGTCAAATGTATGTTTTGTGCTATTAAAAATTTGTATTTTTCTTTAGTTTTGTTTGCTTATTTTCCATTACCTTCCATGTATTTGATGCCTTTACAAATCTTAATACTTTTCTGTTGAACAAGAATTTGAATTCCACTGTACTAAACTCTTAAAACAAAGTCAATTATCATGAAGATATGTATCTATTTTTTATATTTTAAATAATTAAAATCTAGATAATTTCACAAAACAGTTTTTGTAATGTTTAACATTTCACATAATTTGTAATAAAACAAAATAAAACTATTGCCATAGTATAATATTAGTACTACATAACAAATTGTCAGTTATATTATGATATTTTTACTACTTTCTGTAATTCTCCAAATTAAAGAATACAAATTTAAGAACAAAAAAATTATTCTCTACTGTAATATGAATAGAAATGAATATGAAAAATATTAAAACCTTTTTTCTTCATTTATACTGCAGTCAATTTTTATGATAGTTTATATTATGATTCAAAAAATAAAGATACATTATGTCTCATAAGTTGTGTCAGCCTAATGATGAAACACATAAAATGGAAAGTAATATTTAGTAAATTCAACCTTTCTGGATCTCACTGTAACCCTTGATTTTTTCCTAATCAAAGCAGAAATACTTAGTCAAATTGCATGAATCTTAGAATAAACTTACTAAAAAGTGTTTAGTTTTGGTTTAAAAAATTTATATAATTTGAATTAGTTAATCCATATTTTTAATTTTGTGAAATTTCCAAAAAGTTGTTGTGGGGACTATTTTAAAAAAAACATTAAAAATATTTCCCTTCATTTTAAAGTTTCAATTTTTTTTAAATCTTGATTACAATAATATTCAATAAATAAGAATATAAATCGCATTTGAGTTATCAGAATATCTTGCCATCACCTACCATATTCTCTAAATCTAATAAAGCTTACTTGATATCCTATCATAGTAGAAAATTTTCATCGGTTTTGAATAAATATATTTTAACATAAAAACATTTTTAGAAACTAAAAGAACATCTAAGCAAACTATAAAACATTCCCCGATCTGTGGTTTATTCATAAATATTCTAATTTTTAAAAAATAAATTTCATTGTTCACTGCAGGAGGTAGATTTCATCATTTTCCTACAAGCCATAAGTTGCTAATCATAAAATTCTACATTGATATAGATGGTATATAATTTGCTCCCAATAATATTTCATCTTTGTCTGTACCTATTTTCAGAGCTGAGCTATATTAGTAGTTGTTATGATTGTTTCTTAGTACACATAAAAAATATACTTTGTGATGGGCAGAAAAATTCTAAAAAAAATCTATAGGTGTCTTATAATTTAAAACTATTTTTTTCATTTTTATTTGTGAATTACACAAAACAAATGTACAAAGTGACAAGTTACCAATTCAAAAATATTTTGAGAAAGTAATTGTTGAGATAGGGTCAAAATTGTTATTTTTATTTAAATATCTAAATTTTATATGCAGGTGTGCACTCAACACATGAAATGAACTCTGGACCAGAAAGGGTTAAATTGTGTTAGACTGATGATGAAAGCTTTAGAATAGAGGGCAGTACTCATGGAATCCAACTAATGTCAGTTTGATACTGAAACAAATAGAATGGAAAGTGATATTCAGCAATTCAAACTGTGTTAACCTAATGAGAAAACATTTAGAATGGAAAACAAGTTTACTAATCTGTGTAATAATAATATAAGACAGTCAATACAGTATGTACAATAGCAAAAAAATTGTTTTACCAACTGAAGTGGCTCAACTAGATAAAATATTTTAAACTAAAGCAAATAGTGTTTCAGTATAATTTAATACTGAGAAAACATTATTTTTTTGGCATTTTTATGGATTGTACTTGTCTAGAAATATTAATTGAGGTTTCAATATTAGATAACACAAGGTTTCAAGCAGATACACGGCATATAAGATTCTAGTAAAAAGAACAATATCTACATACCAACCCAATCCAAGTGTCCCACCCTGGTGGAATGTGCTGAACACCTCCAACACTATGACGGCCATACTATGAAACACGATAATTTTGATTAACTTAATTCAAAGTCAAAAGTGCATTCTTGTATTTTGGGATTTTGCTTTAATAATATTTTTTTATATTTATTAATGAAGTTGAAAACAAGTTATATAAAGATTGTCATGTATTTTTTACATGAATTTGTTCTAAACATATATTTAAAAAAGAACTTTCCAGTTTGCACTGTTTTTACATTATTCACAGTTTGTTAATAATTTTTCAAGTTTCTATGGTTCTGATACCACTTTTACTTTTTGACATATAATTATTAACATCATAACAGAAATAATATTCACTAACTAATGTGATTATGACCAACTTTTGTTTAATTCATAATTCAAATTTTATCATTTGGGTTCAATTATTATAAAAAAAAACTCTAGTATTAGAACATGATCAGGAAAAAAAAAAGCTTAGGTATCTTACAAAAACGTTCAACTGGAAAACAACTAACCTGGTTCAAGTATTTTCCTGCATAAAAAGTTGTGTAGTTTTGTTTTTTTAGATAAGTAATAAATGTCTTTTTCTCTAGACTAGCTTGCCAATTTTGAGAACTACAGTTGCCACTAACACTGTTGTTCACTACTCTATGGTTATGGACATACTGCCCAGTCAAAATGCTAGATCGACTTGGACAACAGAGTGGAGTAGTAACAAACTACAGTGAAAAATACAGAAAAAATTTTTTTTTCTTAATAACTATGTAAATGAAGCATTCATATGATATTTTTCAGTTCTTTAATGAAATGCTTTTTTCGATAAATATGTTTTATTTAAGACTAGCTTTATGGACCTTGTTCAAATGCTCTTATCAAAATAAGGTATTTTTAAAAACTTATACAAAATAACTTTTAGCAAAAACAAAACAGAAATTTTTATCAACAAAACTGGAAAAATTAAAATGTCATATGGAAGTTCATAAAAAATATAATTAATCATAACAGTACTTTAAAATCATAGAAAATTTTGAATCATAATAGTCTAGGTTTGTTAAAAGATATGGTTTATAAGATTCTAAAGAACTTTACAACTGATTCTACTTTCTCCTTTGTATGAACATGCCTTTTAGTATTAAATTTTAAGTTTTTAAAATATCAAATCGTTATGCTGAACAAAAAATAATATCTCAATACTAAAAAAGAAATAAATATTAAACTAGAAAAGATACTTTACAGAATTAAATAGAAGAATAACAGTTGAGCATACTTTCAATTATGGAAAGCAGTGACAAATTTTAATTTTTGAGTTTTAAACAGTGATGGAAGGAAAGGTGTGTTCATAAAAAGGTGAATATCTATGAATTTTGAAATTACTTTAAAAAAACATAAAAATTCAACATATCTGTATGAAAAAAGAGCTTGAAACCCTGAACTGACAACTACTATTTGTCAGAAATGTAACCAAACAATCAGATTGATGAGAAATCATTTTAAAGATCAAAACCTTCAACAGACATGGCAAATTTTTACCAAACTACTAAAACCTGTAACAGACCACATGCATGAAAAAAAATTACACAAACAAAAACATATAAAATGTGTGAGTGAATAAAACAATTGTCAAAAATGGAATGAATTTCTTGAAGTGTGGGAATAAACAAGTAATGGAAGAGACCATCTCATATACAGAAATGGATTTCAAAACCAAGAGTAAGTTGGATGACATCACAAAGTGAAGGAAAGAAAGTGGCACCAGCATGAGCAAGAAACAGCACAATGTTGAGAGTTGAAACATAGCACTTCATTGATACAAAAGTTAGTTATCACATCTAAATATCTGATCCAGTGCTTAACTTGAATAACAATAATGTATACCTTGTGTATAGAACACAATAGCCAATTGATTGAATGGTACTTTACAAACGAATATATATATACAAAATTTTTGTTCTTACATTGTTCCTACATGAGTACTAAGAATAAATGACAAAGAAATATTTTTACCATGTTTTCAAAAGTTACTCCTCCTTCTTCTAGAAGTTTTCTTGTTTTTAGCATGGGTTCCTGAAATGTATTAAAACTGCACTTGGCAATCACTTACCATGACATACATGCAAATATTCTCATAACAAGACATTAATCTTTTAAAGTATATAATAAACAAGCTTGTAATAAATTTCCATTCAGTATAACCTTCCTGTAACAGTAACTCATTCTTTAGATACAAAAAAATCATCACATTAAGCTAACAAATACACATGTAAATTACAGATTATAGCATCTAGGAAGGTGAATTTATTTTTTGTTTTTTAATAAGTTGTAAAATATATTTAATGTTAAGTACAAATAGTTTTAGTTAAAAATGTGTTTTAAAGTTTGTAATTATTCTATGTTAGACTTATGATTATAAATATGCATACATAAATAAAACACATGAAACATTTTATGAGCTCTTGTACTTTTCTGATTTGTAGGATTTAACTCTTTTCTTATTATAATTTATTGGATTTCCAATTTGTAATATTAATTTCCTCTCTTGTAGACTACTGAATCAATATATTTAAGTTAAATAACTTTGCTCTCAATCCTAGTGGTCACATAGTTCACAAACACTGATAAAAGGGCTCAAAATTAGTGTTTGCTAGTTGTCAAAAAGCCAGTGACCATGATTATGAATATTCAAACCAGTTGTAAGCAATGATCATAATTATTAAAAAAAAAAAGCTGGCTGCAAGCACAACATTTATGATAACCACACAACGATAATAAACCAATAAGTAATTTCTGGTAGATAATTTTGCATCTCTCAATGGGATTCCCAAAGTTTAAAATAGTTCATAAAAACAGTGTGCTCAAATGGTGTTTCAAGTTTTTATTGTATTCTTTTATTCATTTCATAAAAGAAAATTATCACAAACATATATATAAACTTTAACAGCATGTCAAAAAAATGAAATAATAAAAAAAGCTGCTTCCAAAAATTCACATCAACTGACTAGTTATATTATCTAAGAATACATATCTCACAACCCTTTTTATGGCCAGCTGGCATTGTTGCAGGTAACATTTTCCAAGCCTTTATTAGCTCCTTAACTATCCTTTCATAAAAAAAGAAAATCATGAATCATTTACCTTTTTTAAAACAATAAATTGCATTTCAACAGTGTGATACATGTGCTCAGTTCAAGTATTTAATGCAGTAGCATATTTACTGTATTCTCCTTCAAAATCTGAATTCATCAGCAAAACTGTACATATAAGTACCATTTACAAATAAAGTGAATTTGTTTTATTTATAACAAAATAGCTACTTTACTTCCAAAGGAAATCACTGCAAATAAATTTCAGCAAAACACATAAGTTTTTATCATTTTCCTTTTCTTATTTAGTGAAAATTGCTTGATTTTTATACTTTTAAATATAGTTTTCATCATTCATTACATACAGAGGTCAACATCTCACTAAATGTGTTAGTAATATTTATTAAAATAAAAAAAAAACAAATTACAAAAATCAAAAGTGTACACATTTGTGTGGAATACTGCAAGTGATACTTACCGCACCTAAAATGCAACCTTTATAATTAGTATGTTATATAGAACTAAAAGATAAATAACCCATTCTAGTTCTTTAAGATATTTCAACACAATATACCACCTAATTCTATGTTACTTAATTGGAATTCGCACTCTATCAATTATTATTATTGTTATTTTAAAATGTTAATATTTATACAACAAATAAATCTTTCGGTATACCATGCCTCCAAGTTCAACATCCTGATCATCTGTAAGAACAAAGATAATATTTGGTGGTGTAAATCCCCAAGCAACTTGAAGGCCAGTTGTCCATAAACATAACCACATCACAGTAACACATCTGTTTGCAAGAAACTTTGTGGTAAAAGGGAGGATCCACATTTGATACATATCCTAAGGATATAAATTGTTTTGTACTACTTTAGCTTCATGCATAATCTGCTGGAAAAAAGAATGTATTACACTCATAACTTTAAACTTTTGAAGTATAAGTGTATATGCAAGTTTGATCTTACAGTAATTATTAACAGAAGTGCAAAATTCATCAAATAGCATACATAATGAAGCTGTAGTGCATTTTAAAATACAAAAGAACCCAGTAATTGAAAATAACCATTACAAGTTAACACTAATTTAAGAAAAGAGTTTTTGTCTAATCAAGTTTATAGGTTTCAGTATCAAAAAAAAAAAGATTCATAAAACATCATCACTGATGAAGTAAGTTTAAATTACCAAACAAAGAATTTGCTCTTTGCTTAACTAAACAGATGTGTTGTTTATTTATTAAAATAGTTAATCTCAAGCATATGACATATTATTTTTTCAAGAATGTTTAAACTTGTTTTTCAATTTTTGCCACTGATACTTTCTTATATATTTAAATTAATAGAACAATTTTCACATTATTTTCATCTACATCTATTTGTAAAAAAGAAACAATGATAAATAAAACCACACAAACTACCATCTACTTTGATAAAGATGCTGCAAGGAAACTTCAGTACAACTAACCTCTATTAAAAGAAATAGTCAAAGAACTCAGCAGAGACAAAGGAGACAGCCACAGCAATACAAACTCAAATTCAATGACGAGGAACCCACTTTGAGACTAATAATGGCTGGAGACGGCTTGAATGGGTAATGAAGAAAAACTTATATAACAGCAAATGTACAACGTTTCGACAAGGTTTTGTCATACCTGATGAT